AATAATGAAGATTTCAAAACAATTGTGACATAACTGAATAATTTAGAGGCACAACAAACAATGCACCACTGATTTTAAACTTTAATAAATTGGGAATAGGAAAAATTTGGCGTTCATCAATTCAACCCCATACCTTGCTGCTCAGTGTTTCACCCTTTTGCCACTCTGCATATTTTCCAGATTTTGCAGGATAATATGATGGAATAATGTATACTCCTTTTCAGAGTTTGACGAATAAATATCAATGGTAGGGAGAATATTTGTTTTGCATGAATGGGAATAGCATTTCCCATTATGCTCTGTATTTTTTTTATTTATTTCAGAATTTCCGCTATCCAATTGATATCGTGTTGATTTTCATGTACGTGATTGATTTCCATTGACCAATTTGCAGAGGTAGGACAATGTCACGAGATTCATATAGCATCCATTTCGTGATTTTGTTTCTATTTTATATTCGTATGGTTGCTATATACAAGTAAATTCGTGGAGAGTTTTAGTATTTGAAGTACTGTTATATTAGAATTCAAATTCTTTATATCAATTTCGTCTTAGAGAGAATTAGGCATGTTGACGGGCCGAACAATCCCGAACTTGAATAGGCCCATTGACAGCAGGTCTTGAATCGTTCCTTGGTTTTACTCGTGTCCATTCAGATTCATGATTTTGACAATCTGAACTGTCGGTTCATAGTTTGAACTGGAATCAGTAATTCGATGATTTTTTTTTTATTATAATTATTATTTTAATTTATTGGTTCGACTCGAAATCAGAACTGTCGGTTCATTGAATATTTGAACCAACCCGTAGATATTCTCGTGCCGATTCAGGGCCCCCAAAATGGGGCCTGAAACAACGGTTCCAACCCGAGACAAGGATTTGGCCATGACTATCAGATAATGTTTCCAATGTATGTCTTGACAAGTTTAATATTCATCAGTTATTCTAGCTTGTGGTTTGTTGTTTAAGTTCGAATGTTGAACTTGGGAAAACCAAAGTAAGATTTTCTAGATCATTTTGTCAGTGCAAGAGGTGATTTGAATGTTAGGTGTATCTGTGTATCGATTCATGACCTTTTGTTTAATTAAATAATGCATACTTATGTTATGAAATATCAATGAATACTTAGAGGATGCTTGGATACAAAACTTATCCAAAAAAATTCAATCATTCTTAACTCAATTACATTTTAAATTAAACTTTAACTCAACCTCACTATCATCAATATTATCAATATAATTAAATAATATCAATCAATCATTCTTACACACCACATCAACCTTAACCCACTATTCATCCACTCACATATTTTTAACTAACCATCACTTCAATCATCTCTCTCATACTTTTACATTAAATCAACTTTAATTATTTTATTTTAAATATTATTTAATATACTCACTAACAACTAACCATACTACCTTTTTCAAAATTAACCAAACCAGATCAAAAAATCCAAACAAATCAAAAAGTTTTATTATTTGAAATCGCATACTGTTCTTATTTATGTTATTTCATTAGTATGAAGTCTCAATTGGAAAGTAATATAAATTGAAAAGTATGATTGTCTAACCTGATTAACTAGGTATATTGGCTATTTTTTTTTTCTTTTTCTTTTTTTGTTGGGGTAATCAACTCTCTTAATGGCTTTAGAATTTGTATCACCACTACGGAATTTGGATGTGGTGTATGCCAAAATAAAGTTGGTTGCTAGACACGTAACTCGAGATAAGACTTTAGAATGAGCTGACCATGCTCGAGCTACGTGAGGTTATGGACATGTAAATCGAGCTAGGGTCTATGATGATTGGAATATGCTCGAGCTTCAGCCTTCAGCTAACTAGTGATGTATACAAGTAAACGAATTATATAAAAGAACTGAAAAAATATTAAAAGATATATGTTCGCATATACTTTTTAAGAAGAGATCGCTTGTTTGTTTACAAATGGGATTTCCACAACTATGAAAATTCTTTCGAAAAATGAGAATACGCCAACCTAATGATAAAAAATCTACTTGTGAGTGTAAAGCATCATAATTATTAGATTTTTTTTTTATCTTGTCAAACAATAATTATATTAAAAATTTAAAACTAAAAAATAGTACACCGGGATGTTAACGGACACCACTAGAACCAACACAAATATTGGATCTACACCCTTAGAACTACATAGTCAACCAACGGTGCAATCACCTGCAAAACAAAATATCTCAAAAAAAGAGACAAAATAACTCTATAAAGGAGACTAAAGACAAACACAACTGTACTTAAACTGAAAAACTATAAAAAATAACAAATAAAACACCTACAACACACGCCTAATCGATACAACAAAGCCCTCCGTGGCCATCGCCAAGCTTCACCAACGGTATAACCAGTCTACAAAGAATAGCCCAACTCCTGCCAAGAAAACAAATCCAGAAACTCCACACTCTAAAACTCAAACGGCTATCTCGAACCCGATCAAACCTTAAGTACAAACGACCACCGCCAAAAGGCTCTGTACGACCGAAGTTCACCGTCCACCCGTCCCTAAACTCAAGAGAAACCAACCCGCACGCCAATTGCGGAAACACGACAGAGGAGGCTCCAACCTCGTCACAAGAAAGGCACTGAGAGGAGGTGGGACGATAGCGCCAACCCAACACCGCACCCAGTGGCTGAGGCCCACCATCCACCTGCCTCTAAACACAATTGGAGGTCGATCCGCCCGCGAAGGCAAGTATGTCTTATTAAGTGCTTATTTTTCAATTTATTGTATTATGCATAGAGAGTAATTCAATTGAGAAACTTAAACATGTGAAAAGGATCCTGGTTCGAGCACGATCTTATCAGGGTCTCTTATCCCCGTCAAGTTATAACTTAATCATCAGGCCTTCAGCCTACCAAAAAAAAATAAAAAATAAAAAGAGATCGACCGTTTACAAAAGCCCACCAATTGGATCCATAAAATATGGACCACTAGTCCACTACACCGGACGCACTGGATCCCAACTCCACAAAAGCACAGCAATTTCAAAGAAAAAGAACCCTACCACCAATTTTTCCCCCAAAATAAAAGAACTCCCAATATTTACAAGAATCCATCGGAAAAAATATCTTCGAAAATTTTCAAATTCTCTCTCTGAGATCAGAAAAATCCGCCATGGGCAACACCGAGAAACTGATGCAGCAGATAATGGATCTGAAGTTCACCTCGAAGAGCCTCCAGCGGCAGGCCCGCAAGTGCGAGAAGGAGGAAAAATCGGAGAAGCTCAAGGTCAAGAAGGCGATCGAGAAGGGCAACATGGACGGCGCTCGGATCTACGCAGAGAACTCGATCCGCAAGCGCAACGAGCAGATGAACTATCTCCGCCTCTCCTCGCGCCTCGACGCCGTCGTCGCCCGCCTCGACACCCAGGCGAAGATGACGGCGATTGGCAAGTCGATGGGCAACATCGTCAAGTCCCTCGAGTCTTCCCTCGCCACCGGTAACCTCCAGAAGATGTCGGAGACGATGGACCAGTTCGAGCGCCAGTTCGTGAACATGGAGGTCCAGGCCGAGTTCATGGAGAGCTCCATGGCCGGAAGCACCTCGCTTTCCACGCCCGAGGGCGAGGTCAACAGCCTCATGCAGCAGGTGGCCGATGATTACGGGCTCGAGGTGTCTGTCGGGCTTCCACAGCCCGCAGCACACGCTGTGTCGGTGAAGAACAGCGAGAAGGTTGACGAGGATGATCTATCTAGACGCCTTGCCGAGCTCAAGGCCCGCGGCTGAAATTTGGAAATCGTTTTTAGGTTTTTATTCAATCCGAATTCTGTTCTGAGTTATATGATTAATTTTCTGTTATTGTGTGGACCAGATTTCTGATTTATATTATATATGATGTGAATAAATTCAACTGGATTGTGGTAATGGCTTTTACTCTGTCTTCATTTTCTGTTCGATTGAGTTGTTTTTGTATTACTATGTGTGTGTATAAGCTGGAACATAGGATTATTTGTTTCCATTAATTAGTTGTGAATGTCTGTTTGTTATTGTGAATAAAGTTGATGTCTCGTGATTATGATCATTACTTTGTATTCTGCTGTGTACTTTTCTGGTTGGTTTTCTGGTCTTCATTGTTTGCTGTGAGCTTGTGTCTAATTCTGCTGTGATTTGATTAACTGGAAATAGTCTACTTTGAAGACTAATGCCTGGTTTTGTCAATTGAACTGCGATGTCCGTTTAATTTTGAAGTTTTTGCGAAAAAGCTCGTCTTTTTTGACTGGACAGGTTTTTGGGTTTCTCTGTGGTTGATAGTAGAAATGTTGGTACTGGAGTTAAGACTGCTTTTGTTCTAGATGAACATGAAGATTGATTATTTGCGGATATGTGTGTTTAGTCTTTGCTTAATTTAAGCGTCTTTTTGGAGATTTATGGTTGGTGATCTTTGATATGCCCATGTTTAAGAACTCCTCCCCCAAATGCAAAGCAATTCTGATGGAAAATTGTAGAGGAGAAATAACAAGCGGCATGTGGATTTTCTTTTTCGGTGTCATGAACACTCGGTTTATCAGTTTATCTTATCTGAATTTTTTAGCCGTGTTCTAATGTTTTGGTGCTGAATTGATGCAGGATCAAATTCTTTCCTTTTATTTTGTTATGGAAAATGCATTTTTAAGCAGATAATGATCGGTGTTGTTTGTGTACCACGCTAGTTTTGTTTGAAGAAAATTTTGAATGCTGAGTTGATGATATTGCTTGGCTGAAGCAAAATTCTTTCCTGTTACTATGTTTAAGTTAAATACATATAATGATCAATGTTGTTTGTTTACCCATGCTATAGTTTTGTTTCTGGAGATGATCATTGATAACTTGAAATCTAGCCCTTCATTTCCTTCTTGTAATTACATGACTAGAAAGGATCATCATTTTCAAAGTTTCATTTAGTTTTTTATAATTAGGCAACTGAAAGGATCATCATATTAAAATATTTGAGGTCACTAAGCAGAACTCAGCAATGAGTGCTTAAAATAAAGTAATACCTTCAAAAACAGAAATAACAAGTACAAAAGACAAGACTCTTTGCTTAAAACTATGGCAATGTGTGTGGATCTTATTCAATTCCTCCAATCACAAGAGCAAACAAATGTATCACAAACTCTACAAAGACATTGTTATGAATATTCTTCACTTTCTCACTAAACATAAGCTACAAGAAATCTCAGAGATAATAGCTTCAACCATGGAGAAGCCAACATCAACTCTAATTTACATCAAATATGTGAAATAAATGGGAAAAGAAAAGAAATATCAGAAACACACACTAATTTACAATCTTACATTGCATTTAACATAAGTTATTGAGCAAATGAAGTTTTATGCACATCCTTGATCGGCCATACTGCTTGCGATTGTCAGAAAAGCAGATATGACAGCTCCATGAACCAATGCCCTGCAAGCACGCATATAATGTATATCGATTAGAAATTATTCAAGCATAAAGAAGGAAAATTAAACATGTAAAATCTTTGTGAGGCAATTTACGAAGAAAATAATCCTTACTCGGGACTCTCTTTTAGATATCCAAAGTCAGTGGCTGTTTTGAGAGCTCTTTGGTATGTCTGCTTCATTGCCTCCTGCCAAATTTTCAGTCGAATCAATTTTGAATGCATTTTTACAGGTAATTGTTCCTTTACTATAAGCTCACCATTAGTTTCGATTCAAAATCTTCAGGTGCCCAATTCAAATTACACTCTCTTAATTCAAGTTCTCCTGCTATTACCTGTAATAAACAAGCAAAAGCTAGGCATGTCATTAGGGAATACACGGGGAAGGAGAAAAAGGTAAATTCATATCAATAATCGAGGACGAACAATAAAGTTCTGCCTGTTAAACGATACAGGATAGTTACTAAATTTAACCGCATAACATTCAGCTAATTACAACACAAACACAGCTGACTTTCAATTTACTTTCAAATGGCAATACATTTCTTTCACGACTTCTCGGTGGAATATTATAGCACATAGCTCTGTCATAAAATGTTAAACGCTATATGAGTTGACGATACTAAGCATGAAAAGACCATCATACCCCTCCCACTCCAGCAGCCATAGAAGGAGCAACTAAGATATTTGCCTTTCTCAAGACATCAACTGCTTCAGGCGTACAAGGCATGTTTGAACCTAAGAGAATTTGAAGATACTTACAGACAGTAAAATAAATAAAAAAATAAACAATAACAAAACAGTAAAGGTAAATTACAGAAACTAGTATNAATAATAATAATAATAATAATAATAATAAAACCGATGTGCTAACAAAAGTATGAATATCCCCGCAAAGTTCATTTTATTTTACAAAAATCTCCTTCAATAGGTGAGTTAGTAAATGTAAATAAATGCTGATGGGTGCACTGTTCACTCGACCTTTATGTAATAAGGTCAAACCCCAAGGGTAGTTTTTGTAATTAACCTAAATTGAGAATGTGTAACTGGGTTTACCTTCTACTAGTATACGGCAACCAGAATTTACCAAATTAATGGCATCCGACTGATCAATCTCGTTTTGGGAAGCACAAGCAAATGCAACATCACACCTTTCATTCCAAGGCTTTGATTCATCGTAATATTTAGAGCGTGCGTAAGTTTTTGAATAGTCTCTGCAAAAAAAATCACTTATAAGCTGATGAAGATTAAAACGATTTTGCAGCAAAAGAGCACATGAACGAACCTCAGACTTCTATTCTGAGCTTTAATGTCTCTTAGAAAAGATATTTTGACAAAATCAAACCCGTCCTCATCCACCAAATACCCCTTTGTATCTGTGGATCACAAATCAAATGAAAATTGCAGAAAGTGATAAATTTTGTAAGGCATAACAAAAGAGAGTATTTTATTATACAATGATACTGAATAACCGAATAAGCTTGAACTATAAAATAATTCACATATTCAGAGTAGCCTATGTTATTATTTAAAATTAAATATTCCAGTTTTCCAGAGTAATTAACGGAAAAACGAGACGACTTATGATAGAAAAGCCTCTGTATACATACCAGACACTGTTATTGGGACCGCATGGTTTGCGATTAGCTTCTCTAGGACATGCATTGATATCTTTCCACAACCACTAACAGCACATCTATGTGAAAAAAAGTGAAGTAAAAAGTAGAAAAATTATGAGAATAAAAAGAAATTGGAAGTTCTATTGCAGGGTAACAAAAAATCTAATCAAGCTCCAAACTGCCGAATCATCAAGTGTTTGAGAAAAATAGGAAACTCTTTTCGGTCAATATTCAAGACTAATACTTGTTCTATAATTTAAACATCACAATTTTCTTTATGAACATAACTTGAAAGTTCACAAATTCATTCTTTATTTTGGACATATATAAGAACAGTTTAAACATCATTTACAAATACTTTTTATTTTAATAAAGTTATTTCTGTTTAGTTAATAAAATAGAGAGAGAATTGTGGTTTTTTTATTTAAGTAATACTGTATTTAAACATCACAATTTTCTTTATGAACATAACTTGAAAGTTCACAAATTCATTCTTTATTTTGGACATATATAAGAACAGTTTAAACATCATTTACAAATACTTTTTATTTTAATAAAATTATTTCTGTTTAGTTAATTAAATAGAGAGAGAATTGTGGTTTTTTTATTTAAGTAATACTGTTGAGTCTCTTGAGGCACCCAAAGATCAATAGTAGTTAACGGCAGATTATTTGCTTAGGCAGGATAATTGGCACTAGCATTCGGGACAGGCAAAACCTGTTAAATTTGTTTCTTTTCCATTTTCATACAAACATATTTTATTTAAATATTTCCTACCCATTAACACTTGGCAGTTGGCCCTATCAGAACATCTTGTAGAAAATAAAGAAAAAACGTCACATTCGCATCTATGTTGGTAAGAAGCAAAAACGGGATGTGTGGCACTACATAAAGTAAAGCAAATAGATAAATAAGACATGATATGATATGAAAACTATGGTGTAGAACCTTAGTCCTTTTAGTTCTTTATTCATTTCTGCAAGCATAAGTTGAGCAAAGAACACCTGCAAAATGAGAAGTGTACAGTTAACCAATAATAATAATAATATTATGAAAAAAAGGGAAGTACACCAAAAGTAGGGAAAGTTAGTTACCAATCCATATCCAGTAGCTTCAGTGCGTAAACTAGAGCCAGACCAATTTATTCTAGGCCCTGTAAAACTTCCCTGCACAAGAAACACATTTACAATTTAAGTTAGTAAAGTGTATTATTATTAAAAACCTTATAGGAAACACATCGAAACCATGAAGAAAATAATCCAAATTTGCTCTCATTAATATTTAGCTTATATTTATACTACTAGATCTAGGAAAAATGTTAAAGTCCTCAGGAAAGTCAATTTTCCATCTTAAAGAATATAATGTAAAGCACCAATATGACCTTATGAAATGATTCTCCCAGCACCAACTAAATAAAATCCACAAACACATACTAAAAATAAAACAAAGTAGTAGATTATTCAGCTTTAACCTGAGAATGACCAGTAAGTCGTCGATATTGTCCATAGAGATAACCTATCTCACGGGTTCCAACACCCATCTCCTCTGAAGGCAGATCCTATATAATTCAAGAAGTAATGCAGATTACAATAATGTGTGAAATAAAGGCTTTAACAAATTGGCATCAATCCATTAAAGAGTACCTTATCAGGACCTAAATATCGGTACAGCTCATTCATGAAGCTCTGACAAAATCTCATGACCTGTCAATTTGTTCAGGATTTGAAAGGAAAAGAAAAAGGTCAATAGTGTTCCAAAACTCCAGCTTCAAAGACTGTGTAGCATCGCAGAATAAATATGAAAAAACCTCATTATCACTTTTTCCCCTCGGATCAAAATCACTCCCACCCGAAGAGCCTCCAAGTCTGAATGGAGATAATGCATTTTTTAAGGTCTGCACAAAAAATAAATAAATAAATAAATAAAATAAAATAAAAATAAAAATGAAGCATTTGAAGCCATGCCCGCATATGCATTACACAATTCATTGCTCAACTTTAACCAGTTCCCCAGAGGTATACATGTAATATTAAGGGCGTGCTTGGATACAAATATATCAACTCAAATGAGTTTTTTTTTTTTTTTTTTTTGGTTAATTTTGATGTGGTATGGTTAGTTGTTAGTGAAATTTTGAGTTCATAATAAAATAATATTTAAAATAAAATAATTAAAATTGATTTAATGTAAAAGTAGCAGATTGATGATGTGAAGTGATGGTTAGTTAAAATTATGTGAGTGGATGAATAGTGAATTAAAGTTGATATGATGTGTAAGAATGATTGATTAAAGTTATTTAATTATACTGATAATATTGAGGATAGTGGGGTCGAGTTTGATTGGATTATTTTATATACAAACACACCCCAAAGATCTAATGATCTATAACTCTCTTAAAAGGATAAGCCATTTCTTGAAAATTTTGAAATGCCCATATTATCCTCCACAGCTTTAACTTTTAAGGACATAAATGTAATATTATATCATCATTACTAATCTACTATCTCATCTAACCACATGTAATTAAAATCTGAAATGTCAATACTACCCTCAACAGAAAATAATGCAACTTTGTAATAAAAATGCTCTTATGGGTGTAATTATAATGTAACTTCCAAAAAGTTTCTTATATTTTATGATTAATACTTTTTTATAATATTAATGTATTAAAAAAATTTATGATTGGTATCCAATTTTTTAAATGAATGTATTGGCACAACTACATAACTAAGGTTTTGCATGTACCAATATTAAAAATTCCTGTAATGCAAATTCAACAAATATTAAAAATAAAATAAAATTAATATATTAATCTTACCTTGTATTATTTTATTATTAATATTTGATTCAATTAACTTATGGTTCTCATTGTATTTTGTTATTTACAAAAAGATTGTATGTTATTTTTTTTAATATTAATGTAATAAAAAAATTTATGATTGGTATCAAATTTTTTATTTTTTTTTATGAATCTATTGTCACAACAACAGAAATAAGATTTTGCATNTGCTTTTTTTTATTCAATGTCATAATGTATTAATCTTTTTTAAAATTTATGATTGGTATCCAATTTTTTAAATGAATGTATTGGCACAACTATGTAACTAAGATTTTGCATGTACAAATATAAAAAAATATTGTAATGCAAAGCTAACAAAAATTAAAAAAATAAATAAAATTAATACATTGCTCTGACCTTTTATTGAAACCAAACATTTATCTATTTCACCGCCTTTCTTTTGTCCAATGTCATAATGTATCAATCTTTTTATTATTCTTATTGTATTATTTTATTATTAATATTTTATTCAATTAACTTATGGTTCTCATTGTTTTTTGTTATTTACAAAAGGTTAAATTTTTCTAATTAATTTTATTTAATATCAATGTATTGAAATAATTTATGATCGGTATCCATTTTTTTTTAACGAATGTAGTGTCACAACTACATAAACAAGATTCTACATATATAAACATCAAAAATTCGTGTAATGCAAAGCCAACAAAATAAATCAGTTTTTTAATACATTTATCTGGCCTTTGATTTAAACCAAATATATATCTATTTCAGGGGTTTATTTTCCCGACGTCATTATGTACTAAATTTTTAATTAATTGGTGGACAAATGAGTTACAAAACATGGTTATCAATTGCAATTTAATACTTTTTGAAAACATTCTGACGATTGAATGTTTGTTCACTATCATTTTCAAAAGCTAATAATATTAACAATTTACACCTTCTAAACTTTGGCAAAGACACTGTAACTACATAACTCTTTTTTTTTCCAAGTTATCGTAAACTCTTCCTTTTTTTGTTCCTCATAATTTACAATTTTTTTTTACTCTTATCTATTTTATATTTATCTCATCCTATTATTCATTATCATATACAAATATAAATTTTTTATTGCAAGAGTATACATAATTGAGCATTTTGGATCATCACATTCTTAATTGTTGGTCCTTCCAATCACCAATTGTGTGAGATTAAGGTATGTCATTAATTTATTTGTCATTTGTATGTTGTTCAAATAAAATTGTTGTTCAATAGTTACATCAAATTTTGTTACAATTGTTATTCAATATTTTTGAAAATTTAATTCATTTAAGTTTTCCTAATATTGTTGTATTTCCATTTTTTTGGATACTTTAGTTTTGTGTGCCATTATAATTACTTATTTCTTTAATCATAGTTGTTGTTCCATTATTTTATTGTATGTTTTTTATCTGAAATAAATAACAAAAAGTTTATATGAAACTTCAAATATATGCCTTTTGTTGTTCTTAAGAGGAATGAAATAAATGTATGTGATATTATTTAATTATAATTATTTAGGAATTAATATTTTTTAAAATAAACTTATTACAAATTATATTTTTTATTCATTTAGACTGAAGTAAATGTATATAATATTTTTTAGTTATCAAATTTATAAATTACATATGTGTAATTAAATTATCTTATACAAAACAATATGTCTTGTGTTATTCANTAAAAGTCTGTCACACAAAAAATGGTCCACATTCTAATGCGAAAATTAGAATTGTTTTTTTTAAGTTCCAAAAATTTTGTTTGTTATATTTTATAAGTAATATTTATAAATATTATATGTATTAAAATAATTTATGATTGGTATTCTACATTTAAAATAAATGTATCTGCACAAACCATATCTTTAAGGGTATTACTTAAAAACTATAGTTAAATAAAATAAACAAATACAAGGACGACATTTCTAAACCGAAATGAGATGAGTATTTTTATGATTGTGCCCCCCGCAAGTCTAATTCAAAAAGTATTTTAGAATTTTCAGCAACAAAGCTATGCCTTGCAGCATTTGTAGCAACCAGTGTAGTTACCTTATTATTATTTCGTTTCAGGATCCATTAAACAGATTGAAATGTATAGACATTTATCTATCCCAAGTTCTTCTTCAGGTAAATCATATTTAATATTATTTTTCATAAAATTACACAATATAATATGGAGCATATGTCTATCTGGTTATAAATAAGTGTGTGTGATAAACCAGAAATTCTATGGCGCCCATATGGGCACCATATGGTGCCATAATCTCACGATCTAACGCCTAATATCCATTGTTGAATTGATAGAATGAATATTAGGCGTTGGATCTTGAGATTATGGCACCATATAGTGCCCATATGGGCGCCATAGAATTTCTGGTGATAAACATATACCATAATTTTCTTATTTTTATATTATAGTCAAAGATGTTTATCGACAAAGAAATCTTGAAAAGATGAAAAAAAATATGCCGACTTTGATTCCGTTAAGAAGGACTATATTGATAGAGTTAGAAGCAGGAAAAACCGAAGTCTCCCTAAATGATATCATTCACAGTTCGGAAAAACTGAGTGAGGTACTATTGAATTTCTAATCTATTAGCATAACTGTTCATGTATTTATATTATTAAATTTTTCAAATTTCTTTCACTTTCAGAAAAATATTATTGCTTCAAGGGAGTTGTTGATAAGGTTATAAACAAACCTTACATAAATTAAGACTCTTGCAAGAATTGTTCTGCATTGATTAAAAAAATTGTGATACACCATCTTGCCGCAAGCGTAATGAAGAAGATGTGGAAATAATTCCATGGTAACAAATACTTAATTTATGCTTACAACTTAATTTCCATTATATGACTAACTTCTTTATCTTCTTTTCAATATTTTAGATTCAGGATCGTCCAACAAGTCGTGAGTGAAAATGAAAATGCATTTGTAACGTTGTTTGGAGATGCTGCAAGCGTTTATGTTGGTTGTCAAGTTGATCAATACCTTCAATCAATCGTTGTGGTAAATTATCACTCATTTCTTCACAATAATCTTTTTATAATTACAATAATAATAAAATAATTATTATATCACAACCATTTTTATTTTTTTTTTTTGCATATTCAGGGAGAAAATGAGTCTACTTAATACAAAAGACTGAGTTTGCAATCATCACTCCATTTCGCTTCTTAACTACGATAAAAAACAACAAAATAGAAGGAAGTCTGATCTTAGTAGCTGCGATAGAAAGAGCTGAGCAAGACGAAAAAAAAACTGTTAGAGAAGACTCATCACTTGGAAATCCCATCCACATTGCTACTTCCTCAAATTCTCATTCAACTTCGAAAATGGATGCAAATAAAGTGAAAAGATTGAGAAAGAGTTCTATCAAAGAAGATGATGACATCCTTATAGTGATGACCATTACCATCATGAGGAAGAAGATGGCTTAGAAGAAAAAATCAACTCCCAAGAGATATCACTATTGAAAAACATTAAAAAGGAGAAGAACTAATTGTTTTATTTTTCATTTTACTCTTGCATTTTCTCCATGTATTAATTTCTATCATTCTATGAAACATAAACATTGCGTTCAATTTTGTAATTTCTCCCTGTGTTGCTTTCTATATTTCGATTAATATTTCATCGTCAAATAATTAAAACACACATGCATAGCACGTGCAACTTCCTAGTAGATTAAACAAAAAACAGAACGAGACACTTTAGAATTCAAAAGGCTACTCATACCCACGAAACAAGATATAGCATTCAAAACTAAAAATCTAAACTTTAAAAATAATGTAAGAACATGAACCTGTTCAAAACTGAGAAATTTGGCGATGCTCAAGTTCATTGATGGGTGAAAACGCAAACCACCTCTGCATGGACCGAGTGTCTGATTAAAGTGAACACGAATCCCACGATTGACATGTGTCTCACCTCTATCATCCACCCATGGAACCCGAAAAATGATTGTACGTTCGGGTTCTAACAACCTCTCCATGGTATTTACCGAGCTACAGAGAGACATATTTCCTATGATCTTAATATAATCATCAAGGGACAAAAGTTTTTTCTCAATATAAAACAAATGAGGCGACTCACTTGGAATTTTTTGAAATTACTCTTTCGAGAGAGTGAACCACTTCTTGAACAAACTGTATGAACTCCGCTTCATGGGGATCTCTTCTCAATGCAGCTTCAACAATCGATCCAGCCGTCTTTGACATAAGAGCTGTTCTAAGGGATCAAACGTAGCATATAAGTGCCAAAAGTAATCTTTTGTAAATCACATCGAATTACAGAAATTGCTACATGAAAATGAAATCAATCACTGCTCCAGCTTACAAATTGTTTTGGTTGGATAAATATTTCAGAATTTTGCCTTTTCATTCTTTTTAGCATATTTGATGAGATAAAAGTTAATATGGGCACAAATTACCACATAAGCATAAACACTCTGATAAAGTCAGTAACATGACAGATCACATACACATACCAAAGAACCCAAATTATGCCACAAAAGCTTCCATCTCTCTCTCTCTCTCTCTCTCTCTCTCTCTCTCTCACACACACACACACACACACAAAGAGGAGGTTACTATAAACTCGCAAAGCATATCACAGACAATCAAACATAAAACTCGAAAAGGAAACCTCACGTTAAGTAGTAAACATAAAAATCAACAGAGCCAAAAGTAAATATATCAAACCAAATACAATACATCTCACCTTTCACATAAATCGGCTTTTCCACGATTATCTTCTCTTTCGATGCCTGCTGAAGGCGAAGAGCCTCCTTATGAAGCAAGCTATTATTGTGCTCCTCAAGAGCACTCATCTGCATATTCCTACTACCTTCATTCCCATACGGGTTCCTTCTATGCTTCCTCCCATACTCCCTACACACAGAACAAAATATCCTCGCAGTCCCATCTTTCATGTCCACATAGGCCCATTTATAAGTATCGGCCCATTCCTCCCTCCATCTCTTAACAACTTTCTTTTTCCTTTTCACGGATTGCGTCTTTGACAAATCTTGATCCTCATCTGGGAGCTGAGACCCAATCAGAAGCTTGTTTTCGGCGTGTTCTTTTGCAGAGGGTTCGTGCGTTTGAACATCGAGAAGTGAGGTGTGGACAAACGAGGGGTCGTCATCACCTGGACCGATTTCCAAGTCGATTTCTTCGCCTATTTCTCTCACTACAAGGTGATGATGCCTTTGGGCCTGCTGGATCAGGTTCATGTCATCCATTGTAGAGGTCATTCCAGCACCACCAACACCGGGGCCCAACATTCAGCATGTCAAGTTGTGTCAGTCGGGTAAAAAATTTGTTTAGTTGCTGCCAAAAATGAGTGGGGAAAAAATTAAAAATCAACTAAAGAAAATGAAAGGGGAAAATGGTAGGCCCTCACTCCATGACTTTATAATAGTCAAAACAGCAAGGAAGAACTAAAATCTATCAGTTCACCGAAGGATTTGATATGTAAGCT